ATGGAGATGAAATCATTTGGCCTCAGTGCACCTGCTGGAAAGTGCCCCAGTGTCCCCAGACTTCCTTTGGGTTCTCCCGCTTGCAGCTCCTCCATACTTCTGTGTATGAGATGACTTGTCTTCAGTAGACTTGGGCCCGTTTTATTTTGGCAGATGCTGTGTGTGAGCAGAACCTCCACACCCTCGGCCGCCATGAAGCTGATTTCTCCCAGGGACTTTGTGGACTTGGTGTTGGTGAAGAAATATGAGGATGGCACCATCAGTTCCAATGGTACGTGACGGGAGGTGTCTGCCGGCTGTCCTAGAGGCGGAACTCTATCTTACACACCCCTAGCTCTTCGAGGACAGCTGAGTGATTGGGGACCATCAGCAAGCTCATGTGTCCCATCTTCTTCCCTTGTAGAGTTGGGGAGACTGTACCCGAGAGTCTGGAATGGAGAGACCTAATACCTGGGCCTTTCTGTGTCCCAGATCTGTTCTGATCCCTGCTGAGCTCAGTCCGCACCGTCAACATGTGGATTGCAGTTGCTCTCCTTGTATGTCAGTGTGTCAGGTCCACAGGAGCATCCTAATCATGTGGTTGCTTTCTGCCCTGTTCCTTCCCCATGGGCAACAGAGTCCCACGATTCTTCCGCGTCTCCCTCTAGGGAAGCTCAGGGACATATCCTCACTTCTATGGACTGAAATTTGAGAGAGGAATCTTTCTTCTCCTACCCTGAGCCTTAGATTCTGGAATGTTCTTTCTTCTTAAATTACTAAAGGGTTGGGGGAAAAGCTGTGTGGGGGTGAGGATGCATGTGTGTGTGAACTGGAGTGGGTGTAAGCGTAAGGAAGCTGATAGGTAGCAGAACCCTTTGCTGGGCACTGGACTTCGGTCACTGGTCACCTCAGTGTTGGTGTCCCTGTTGTCTGAAGGTGAGTTCACTGACCTCAAGAATGTCTTCCAGCTACCCACGTGGAACATCCATTGTGTCCCCCAAAGCCAGGTTTTGTGCGAGGATTTAACCATCCGTGCGGGTGCTTCTGTGAACCACTGCCAGGGTAAGGAGATTGGGGGGAGGACTTTGTCTCAGACCTAAGCATAACACCTCTGTGAACTCAGAAAACAGGCACTTTGGCTGTAACCCACAAAAGTAACATCAATGTTACAAAATGCATTGGCGCCGGCAGGCACTCAGCCACAGTCGGTGCTCCTGGGGAAGTTGTAAGTTACTTAGATTAATCTGGATGTGAGAATCCCTCTCTCCAGCCCCACAGGACAGGACAGGCAAATGTGCTGTATGTACACAGTGACCACCCCTCCTTTACCAGAAGTGAGACAGCGCTCAGGGCCTCGAAGACAGTTCCAAGACCATGTTGTGAATCAGACGGCCCTGAGTACACTCACAGACACAGCCAGGGTCTTGCCAGGAGCTCTCGAGTAATGAGCTGCCTGAAGGTCACAGGTTTATTTTGAGCACCACCCAAGTTAACAAGGAGAGGAATTGCACCTGCTGGTGTAGCCCTGCGTTTCCCGCAGCCAGCCAGAGGGAAATGTGTGGGCTTCCTCTCACAGTCCCAGAAGGCTGGTCTATTACTAAAACCCAGACGGAGCACCCCCTCCCCACCCCTCTACCCCCCGCGGAACACTATGTCTGCCAGGCTGGCTCTCAAACATCTCTTGGAAGGCTCTTACATGCCTCAAGATCTTGCGTCTGCGGTAGTAAAGCCGTGCTTCGGCATGCGCACGCATGCGCACAGCTTTGGTCCCGGTATTGAGATCAGACCCTCTGATTTGGGCCTAGGAAACTACTCTGGACCACTTTTCCTTGCTCTCCTCCCTGCAGTCGGGTGCGAGACATCCTTGCCTTTCCAGGTTGCCAGGCACATTGCAGCAGAGTGTCTCGAGTAAGAGCAGAGACCTTGCTCCTTGAGGCTGGATCTCAGGACTGGCTTAAGGAAACGCGCAGCATGCAAGCTTTAGCTGATGTAACTGTGATCATGGCCCGCGTTCTATAGAAGGGGTGGGTAGGACGGAGAGGTTATATAACTAGCCCAAGATCACAGGCCAGCAAGTGATAAAGCCTCAGCTTAAACCTGGCCATCTGTCTTCCATATTGACTGTGTTTTTTTTTTCTTTCTGTGTTTAAAAAACAGATAGAAAACATCTGTTCTCTGTGGGCTTAATTCTGATGGGGCAGGAGAAGATAAACAAGGCACAAATGAAAGTAATTATGTTGTATGTACACTAGGAATTACTCCATATTATATGCTGTGTAGAAATCTAAGGGATGGTGAACCGGCCTCGGGTAGGGTGGAAGTGAGTCACCCAGGAGGTCAGCAAAAGCCTCCTTGATAGGAGTCTCCTGGATCACAGTGGCCTGTGCAGGTCCAGGGTTCCTCTGGGTGGAAGCAGGTGTGGGTACAAGGGAAACTGTGGAAGGAAGTCACTGAGTCGGATCGGGGAGGGGCCTGGAAGCAGGGCCAGACCTCGCCAGCCTCGTAACTGGGAGCCTTAGTGAGGGCTGAGCATCCACTCCATGACTTCGGTGGAAGCTGCTTGGATGCCCCCAGAGTAGGTGGAGCTGTGACCCAGAGCAGGAGGCCACACTGGGGAGTGAGGTGGAGGTGACTGGGCTCAGACTCTCTGTGACGGAGGGAGCGCTGTCTCCCAGGACACTAGAGTCTTTGGAGGAGGCGACATCAGAGCTGCATTTGTGGCGCCCCTGCTGTGAATGCCAGGGAACATTTTCCGTGCTCCACGTGTGTTCTGGTGAAAGTGTCATGACAAACTCCTGGTGGTTTCTGTGAGGACAGTCATGATGCCCTGAGCCCCTTTTTAGCCACTTTGGCCTACCCCTTGGGTCTCTCCCCAAGTAGCTTGACTCTCCTGTGATGTTGTACTGCCAAGCCCAGGGCTCCCCAGAGAGAAATGTGGTCATGAACTCTGATTTCTTACTGACCTATTTAAGTTTCCAAAGAGAACACAGCAGAGTGACCATGAGGGATAGACTCGGGGGAGAGGGGGAGTCTTGGGGGTGACAGAGAAGGGCCCCAGAATCGATTGGAGCTAGCTGGTGAGGGAGGGAGAAGATGGAATCTGACAGAGCTGAGGATTTAAGATCCAAAGGGAGCCCTGCCCCCAGATCGCCCTCCCTCTCCTCTCCCTCTTCCTTCCCCCCCCCAGGGGTAAAGAAATGCCGGTCTAGACCAGTCCCTACACTGCTCCTCCACTTGCCCTGTCCTCCTGAGACCTCAGTAGTTGCCTGTACTGCTGGGGGGTGGGGAGGGTGTTAAGAGTCCTCAATACCAGAAGTTCCAAGTCAGAGAAAGAAAACCTCAGAGGTGCGTGCTGTGTGGAGTTTTTGATGAGACCAAAGCTGTGAACAGCATCATTCAAATAGAGTGCCACATGGTAGGGAGGGGGAAAATACCACACGGCCTCTCCAAACCTGGCCACTGCAGCATTTGTGACCACGAGGACCCCTCCAGGTTCCCGTTTGGTCATGCCCTACTTCCTCTATTGTGTGAAATCTGATTTCAGCTTCTGGATTAATCTAATGCCCTGTTGCTGCTTCATCAGTAGATGGGACCCTGCATCTGGGCTTCTGCTACCCCTTGCCGAAGCCTCTTCGACACATGTATAAAGGAGCCCTCGGTTCTCTAAACCAGAGCTCAGAATTTGAATCTATGGTTCCATTTCCCTCCTGAAATAGGGCTGAGGATTTCACAGGACTCCAGTCCATACGTAGTTACCATAATGTAGTATGTTTCCAATTAAGATTGCGCGATCTAAAATAATTCTCTCCACAAAATAGTAGTAAATGAATTGCATGCTAAGTGACATTTTAGGAAAAAAAAAAAAACAATCATCAGTCAGCTCTTCTAAGTAGAAGCTGAGGAGAATGGCGCTATTTTCCAGTTTTGCAAATTTCGTCCATGTCAGACTTAATAACACATCTGTGACAGAGCGTGTTGTAGGGCCACAAATCACACAGGATAAAAACCCTACCGCCTGGCATTGGCACGGAGGGAGTTTCAACCTTGCCCACCTCTGGAAAGGGCCCAGAATGTCCCAGAAGTCCCCGGTCATCGAAAACACAGCCGTCAATAACAGCCACAAGGAACATCTGCACGTCCCACCCAGGGCATGGCACCAGCTCCCCCGGGCAGTGTGTCCTCTAAAAGACATGGTAGAACAAGGGGGTGGAGAGGAGCCCTGGGCACTGAGGCTGGAGCAGGTGTGGAGGTGATCACCATGTCTGAGCCACTTCTGCTGGTCGCTGGTCGTGGCTCTGGGCTTCGATGCCTCTGTGGTACATGTCTAACACGACACCCCTGCTGTTTGTTTTCTCAGGGAGCCCAACAAAACCAAGCTGGTCACGTTCTTCCAGACAGACCTGAGTGGCTACCTCCCACAGAGCGTGGTAGACTCCTTCTTCCCTCGCAGCATGGCCGAGTTCTACCCCAACCTTCAGAAGGCCGTGAGGAAGTTCCATCACTGACATGTCGCCTAGTAGCAAGAAACACCCCATCTGTTGAGTGTCAAAGAACATGGAAGAGCTACTGTGGCCTTTGGAGATGCCCTAGTGAACAGGAAGTCTCGGGAGTGTCTGCCCAGGAAGGACAGCAGCACACACACACACACACACACACACACACACACACACACACACACACACGCGCGCGCGCGCGCCTACTTCCTCTTGGCCTATGGTGTGGAAGGCGCTGTCCATCGGCTTGCGGTGGTACACACATTCCTGGCAGGATACTGCTATGGCCTCCTGACCAAGACATGGCTGGAACATCCTTTGATTCCTTGTGGTTCAAGGGCCCTGTGCGTTGCTGTCAGACCCCTTGTCTCTGTGCCAGGCTTAGAGAATCATCATCTATCCTGGTCCTTAAGTCCTGCTCCTCTGGCATTTGGAGCTCCTAGACTTTTGTCCCAGACTCCTGTGTCCATTTTCTGATACAGTTTTATATACCAGTTTTTAACACAAGACTTTCCCTCCCTTACAAAGATGTCAACTTGGAAAACGTTTCAAAGCACAGAATAAGCCTTAAAGGAAACACACTTTTTACCTAATTTTTTTTTATTTTTTTTTATTTTTCATCAGACTTGTCTTTTCCTGTTTGTCCTGTCGTGAGTTAATGTTTGTGTCCCCATGAAACCAAACTGTATCTTTGGGAGGGAGCGGGAGTTCTTGTGACCTGTGTGAGTCATTCTGAGTGGGGCCAGCAGCCCCTGTGTGCATGGGGGACCCTGGGGAGAAGAGCCCCCCACCCCCACCCCGTCCCATCAGGCCATGCTGTCTCCCGTGCTGTGGAACTGCGCAAGCCCACAGTATCTAACAATTGCCACAAAAGCAGCCATTCCAATAGGGACAAATGCTGTCTCCTTAGCTTTTCAAATTTAATCCCTGCTTTTCTTATCACGAAAGGAGAGGTCCCTGTTGGCTGACAGTGTGCTTGCTTGAAGACTGCAGAGACGACGTGGTGCCCCTCACAGTCCAGCCAGCCTCGCCCCTTTAGTAGATTTTAATAATTCCTCTCCTCTTCCTCCATTCGTTCACAGTATGGAGTGTGGAGTCTAGAACACATTTGCACTTTGATAGGGCTGGTTTGGATATTCCCACATCTAGGTCTAGATGGCTTTCTTGCCCCTGCTCTGTTTTCCCTGAGGTTTGGATACCACCTATTGATCTCTTCCTGCTCTCTGGTTTTGTCTCCATGTTAAGCCCACTTGCTGTACCATTCTGTTGGCTGTGATCCACCCTGGTTTTTGTGACAGGTGAGAAACTCACCAAATAGGCTAGGCTGGATGCCCAGGAAGTTCCAGAGAGCTGTATCTTTCTGCTTCCCCGGATCTGGGATTACAAGCGAATGCCACCACACCTGGTTCTTTTGTTTCCATTAGTCTGTTTGGTTGTTTGGTTTTATTTGTGTTTGTCTTTCTGGTCTCTGGGTGTTAGGTTCAAGTCACCAGGCTTGCATGCCAAGCACTTTCCTGACAGCTGTCTCCCCAGCCCCATACCTTTTATTGTTAGATCAAATTTACCGCCTAATAGATCTAAAGGACTGATCTAAACGATATCGTGAATTCTTCCTTTTCTTGTCTACTATATAGCACAAACTTTAAAGTGGGCTGGAGAAATAAGCATGCCAGCTCCAGCCATAGGCTGCCATTTCTCAGAGTAAGGGAGACCGAGCTATGCAAGAGTCGCTGAAGGGCTTTGCAGGGGGAAGAGAGGAGCCCAGCAGGGGTTTCTGAGTCCACTTCAAACAAACATTTTCGACTTAAGATTCTGGAGAGGCTGGCAGGTCACACTGGCAAGCCCCCATTGGCAGTACCCTGAAATAAATGGTGTTTGGTCTGTGATCCTTGCCAGGCCTTCCCTAGGCCGTCCTTGTTTCATGCCCCTCTATCCCCTGGTCCCACTCTTTCTAGGATCACTTCTCAGCCCAAGCAAAAAAAAACAGGTGTTCTTTTTAAGTGTTTGAAAGTGTTCTTTGTGACAGGCTGCATCTTACAAAAAATGCTCCTGACAACATCCCCCCATTTCCCTGAGCCCAGGCAGGTCTGTGCCTGCTCTCAGCGTAAGCAATGCCATGCGACTTCAAAGGCAGACCATTTAAAAAGATGCAGCCCCTGCCTGGCTCTGGTGTGTGCACCAGGCAGCAAGACATCATAGTACAGAAGCCCAGGCCAGGAACAGATTTCTCAGCGCCAGCAGCCAGAGGCACCAGCAGCAACCCTTCCTTCCTAGGGCCCCAGCCCAGCCCATCTTCAACTGGATAATGCTTAGTAGGGCCAAAAGGAACTCTCCTCCAAGTCCTGCCTGTTCTGCAAATTCATAAGAGGAAACTTGCCGTCATGGGGTGGCTTTCAAAGCACCTGGGTGATGTTCAAATCAGGACATGGGTTTCATAGCAAACTCCAATACATCCATTTTATTATGGCACCAGAATATTGGCACTAAGCTGTCTATATACAGTCTATGGTTTGTATCAATCACCTCTGTGTGACCCCCTCAATGGACGGTGTCCCGGAAGGTCCAAACCTGAGCAGCAGCTACCAGAAGCACACCTGGGCTTTCCCCAGCCTGGGTGAGGTGGGCAGCAGAGACCCTGAGAATCGGCAGTGATGGGAGCCTCACACTCCTGCTTTGTCTTGGCGTCGGCACCCTGTCTAGGAGTCCCCAGAAGCTGTCATCTGCTTGCACTGGAGGCCTTTCCTTCTGATGACCACAGTGACAGGCCCGTCCGGTAATGCCTTGATAACATTCCAGGCTTCAAACCGAGAAAGACCTTGCACGGCAGTGCCGGCGAGTTGCAAGATTTCGTCTCCAGGCTGGACTGTCTCACTCTGTTCTGTCCCTATAAAAAAGGAGAAGATGACAGGTGATCCTGAGCTTCACGGGAAACAGGAGGAATAAAAGGCACTTCCTGAGGAACCAGGTCCCTGCAGAAGTGGACCACACACCGACCTCTGGGAGACAGCCAGTGGTTCTAAAGTGAGGCATTTCACAGCATGGCAGCTCAGAGCTTGGATACCAGACTCAGCTGTTTCCAAGTGAGGTTTGAACTCTGACCTCCAGGCTCTGGCATCCATTACCGGTAACCCCTGCCTGTGGCTGACGGCTCATTCCCAAGTGTGCACATGGGCCCAGAATAGTGAAGTGACTTGTCAAGGCCCTGCTACTACTGCACTTGCGGAATTAATATTAGAACCCAGGTCTCTTAGCTTTGACTCCCTCGAGAGCTAAAAACATTTTCTCAGAGCTGTAGCTAACGTGAAAACTTGGGTTAGTTACCATGCATGACTCAGTCCACCCACTGGGTTTCCACAAAAGCTGCAGAATGTAAGATCAGCTAGCTGTAAAGGCTCATAAGGACAGATAGGAGGGACGCGATGCCCTTTGGACGCCAGTTCTAAAAGCTCCCAGACACACCCTTACTTTTTACCTCTTCTTGTGGATAAGGAACCTCTAGACTGGCAAAGAATGGTCACCTGCAGTTAGAGGCAGGGCTGAGACCACACCCAGAGCCTGGCTTCTGACCAATGTTTCTTTCTCCACATCCCTTGCTCCCCTGCCCAAGGCTTCCACCTAAGAAGTGGAAGGAGTTGCAGATACTATGTAGCTGTATGGTAGCTACAAGGTGTTCATGCTTCTCTCGGGGAAGATCCATATTCAGCTGACCAGCATGTCAGACTGTCTGGCAGCCCAGTTCATAATGAAGAAGACATCAAATGGGAAGAATCAAAGAATTCAGGACTAGAGTAAAGCTAACTTTGTGAGCCTGTTGTGGGATATTTGTTCGTGGTATGAAAATGTATTGCTGTGATTGGTGTAATAAAAAAGCTGTGCAGCCAATAGCTAGGCAGGGGGTATAGGCAGGACTTCCAGGCACAGAGAGGAAGTAGGAGGAGATAATCGAGGTGCAGGGTAGAAGTCAGGAGACATGGAGAGGAAACAGGAAGTACAAGATGGGAGAGAGGTAACACCACATGATAGAACGTAGATTAATATAAATGGGTTAGCTTAACTTATAAGAGCTAGTTAGGAACAAGCCTAAGCTATAGGCTGAGCTTTTATAATGAAAGGTAAATTTCTGTGACTTTATTTGGGATCTGGCTGGCGGGACAGAAAAAGACTCATTACACAAGCCCAAGGCTTAGCCACGTAAGAGGGCCCAGCAAAAAGAGAAGTAAGGGCATGGCTGAGCAAGGGCACAAGGTAAGAAAAGCAGAACTGAACACATAGGGGTCAACAGTGACTCAAGGGGCGTGGGAATCTACAATGGCCCAGACAGGTCTCAGGAGTTTGGGGTTTGGGGTGCTTGCTACACACCCACCACTGGAGAGGATGTAGAGGGAAAAGGGACCCACCTTTAAAAATCCTGTTGATGGTGAGAGGCTTGTCTCCATGAAGGGAGCCCTTTCCTCCCTCCAGGCTGAAGCCCAGCCCTGCAGAGGTCTTCTCCAGTGTCACTGTGCAGACAGTGGCTTCCGCTGCAGAGGAAAATACATAGTTTTGGTCAGTGGTCTGTTCTTCTCTCAGGCCCAGCTGCCCAGGTTGATGCCAGCTGTTTAGCCAGACACACACACACACACACACACACACACACACACACACAGAGAGAAACACAGAGAGACTCACATCTCGGCGGCATACCAGGCAAGCTGGGGCGGTGTGTTGGGAACCACACATTACCACACAGCCACCAACAATGGATCTAAATGGCCAAAGGCAGTCAGTGTGTGGCTCACAAGGGGGCATTCCCCACACCAGTCCCCATCCCACCGCACTGGGAACACTTACTAGATTCTACAGAAATGTCACTGGCTGCTGAAGCTGATGCTGCTGAGTCAGTAGAGGAGTTCAGGTCATGAGTGGCCTCCACGGTTGCTCTCCTGGTGACAATCACAGCTTGCCTTGGGTCCCGAGCTTGGCGGAGGATAGCTAGGGCATCATTGTGGGTAGCCCCCTTGAGAGATTTGCCATTGATGGAAAGAACCTCGTAGCCTTTTTGAATCGTGCCTTCCTGGGAGGCCAGGCCATTTGGAAACACTCTGTGAACCTAAGCAAGCCCAAGGAATTAGAACCCACAGACCACCCAAATCAGATCCCCATTTGTGCTGGCAGGGGACCCCAAGCCAGGTACGCAACCATCCCCAGCGGAGTTTAGGCCAAAGACAACACATATTGACTATATCTCAGGGCAGAGCAATAGATGTGGGACAGCATTCCTTCCTTTCCTTCCCTAGTCAGGGCAGAAACCAGCAACAGCGATGGCCAGAGAGTCTTCAAGCACTCTCTCCACACAATGCCCTTGACTGATCCTCCAATCCCATCCACTCCTAGGGAACATCTTCTGCCTTATCCACCCTGGATTCACACTTCTCAGAATGGTTTCCTGGCAAAACTGAGTCTATGGCTTATTAATTAGGGGTATTTATAAGAACAGGTTTCCAAGATCAAAGAAATTTGGGAACACCAGGTTAAATGAAATCTCCGAAAATGTCCATTGTTTAAAGATGCCAGCAACCCTACAATGCCAGTCTACATCTTGGTCCTCTGAGTAAGCAATGCAATAGCATGGTGACTCCTGAAACACCTTTCAGGAGAGCATATCCCTTCTGGGAATGAACTCGGGTCCCATTTTCTACCGCAAGTCCTTGAGGTGCACAATCCTAGGCTGCCTGGACTTCCTCATTCTCCAGCTGATTCCTTCCCTCTTTCTGCATGATATGCGGGGGAGGGGGGAACCTATCTTACAGCCAGAAAGAAAGACACCTCAGTAGGGAAAGGTCCTTGCCACCACATCTAGAGACCCAGATCCCATGCCACACAGCCTGAATCAGGAAGTCAGAGGCCTGAGAATAGCCAAGTCAGCAACTGGGGACCTGAAGCTGCAGGTGAGGGCAATAGCCCATGTTGGTGGGATCAACTAAGCCAGAATCGATTACAGGGCCACAAAGAAAAAATCCCTAAAAGACAAATCTGCTGCCCCTCCCCATGCTATCCCAGACTCTGGGTCCTGCGGAACAGGAGGCTGGGACAAGCTCTACAGGATGCTGGATGAACACCGCGGCATGTGTGGCCTGCGCATAGCACGGTAACCATGTCCACGAGAAGACGAAAGCAGAGCAGCCCCTCCCTTTGCCTTCCGTGGGCTTCTTTTTACATAGTAAGGAAAAGCTGACAGTCCTAGTCCGGAGCTTTAAAAATGCCCTGTGGTTATATAGTGTACCTTTCCAAATCCTAGTGACCACCACAAGCTGTATTTCCAAAGGAAATTATGTGATATTTTACCAAAGTTGGCCCCAATCCATGTGTGTATATGTGCGCACATGTGTGTGTGCAGCAGCGTGTGTGTGCACAAACATGTGGAGGCCATAGGACAACCTCAGCTGTCACACCTCAGGCAGCATTCCCTTTGTGTTTTAAGACAGGGTCTCTCAGCAGCCTGGAATTGCCAACTAGGCTAGGCTGGCTGACAGACAGCTGCGAGTCTGTCTTGGCTTCCTCAGCTCTGCGACTATAAACGTCCCTCCATTCCCGCCTTTCCTTTAACCTGAGTTCTGGGAAGCAGGCCGAGCTTCCCATGCTTGCAAGGCAAGTGCTCTATTGACGGGAGATATTTCCAGATTCCGGTCTCTATTTTTAAAGTATCCTCCACATAATCTCAAGAATACAGGTATTAGGTATAAGACATACAAATGTTCCATTCACATGTTCTGGTGGAGAACGTGCGCACGCATACACGTGTGTGCATGTGTGCACATAAACTCACACAGACACAAATACTTTTTAATGCTCCGTGTGTATTTAGTGTTTGTTTTAATGTACTGGGGCCATTTAGGGGGCACAGAGACCTTTCTTCGTGGAAAGACATATAATGTCAAAGAGTTAAGTCTGGCTCAGATAGGAGCCCACACTGTGCCTCTTGAGAAAGGTACCAATGACTTTCCTTTTAAACACCTTACCAGCGGCCTGGTGCTTCCCATCACAAGACCTCTTCCAGGCAGGTCTTCCCACCCACAGCAACCTACTCTGCCTCCGGCAGGCCAAATCCTGGGCCACTCACCGTGATCACCTTGTTTTCTAGATCCGCCCCTCCTGCCAAGCTGAACCCGAGGCCAGCGCCTTCTTCCTTGTGTAAGATGGTGACGTGAATGCTGTCTAATTGCTGCGGAGGAAAATGATATACATTCACAAATGCCATACTGCAGGCAGCCGCGTGAACAATTTAACACGTGCTTTTGCAACATGCTGGCTTGTTTCATTAAACACCAGCTGGGCCGGTACTACCACCTCCTCAGGCTGCAGTTTCATCACACAGGAATTACAGGAAGCTTGGGAGGGGAAACAAATGTATGTAAAACAGCAAGCCCAGCTTTCTCTCTCTCTCTCTCTCTCTCTCTCTCTCTCTCTCTCTCTCTCTCTCTCTCTCTCTCTCTCTCTCTCACTCACTCTCCCATTCACACCCAACTCCCACAGACTGGGCTACACATGGCTACGCCAGGCTGGAAGATGCTGCTTTACCGTGACATTGTGGGACAAGGGCAGGTGGTGGGATCTGGGTCAAACTCTCGGGGGCCAGTGCTGTTTCCTTTTTCCACAGGCATAGCAGCAGTGAGGGGCCCAGCTGGCACCTTGCTCCATCGTGTACACATACACAGGCACAAACAGAAACTAAGGGTCAGGAACCAGGATAACCTAATTGCACTATCCAAAGGCAGGAGATTCCATTCTAGTCGAGAGCTGGAACCTGGAGCTTCAGTGCCCACAAGAGCCATAGAGGTCACACACGTAGGCAAGATAGACGGGCATGAGTGACAGGCACACAGGGAGAGCCAAACACATCTAATTCGGAGGAAGGCAGGCCCAGGGCTACTGACTCATTCCCTTTAAACAAAATGGTAAGAAATCTCAGGTCTTATGACATCTGAACTCTGAGAACTTTAAAAGACCAAGCAAAATTTATTTTCAAGGCCATGGTTCTTGGGCCACTAGTTGGTACAGGGCACTGGGAAATAAAAACATGGCAAAGCAGTCCCTTGGTCAAGGACTTGTAGGTCTTCTGCCATCTTTTAATGGGGAGTTCCTGGGACAGAAGAGTAACCTGAATGTAAAAGCCCCATTGACCCTGACACTGGCCACATCTTAGGGATTATCTGCAGGCTTTGTTTTTAATCCTATGGGTGACTGCCATGCTACAAAAAAAAAAAAAAAAAAAAAAAAAAAAAAAAAAAAAAAAAAAAAAAAAAAAAAAAAAAAAAAAAAAAAAAAAAAAAAGTATTCTACTAACACTTAGGCTCTGACCTTCAAGTTTTACCTCCAGCGTGTTATTTGCATTGAATTGGGCTCTGAGGACTGGTGTGGTTCAAGCAGGCGACAAATGATTAGTGAGAACCACAGAGGAGAAACTACAGTCCGGAGGCATCTTAGAATCATCAAACTTCACTGCACCCTTGGCTTCAGAAAGGCAGCTGTGGAGAACCACAGCTTTCCAATAGAAAAGGAGAGTCCTCCCTCCCTCTCAGTGCGGGAACGGGTACGGACCCCAGCAGGCTTCCAGAGAGTGAGGTCCACGAGCCCCGCTTCTGACTGCTGGCTCCGGCTCTGGCTGGGTCATTCCCTCTCTATGCACTTCAGCTGAGTTCAGCAACTACAGAGCAAACGGGGCTTTCCGAAAGATGCGGATGAAGCACAGAGGTCCTTTCGAGCTCACCTTGAGGTGCGCCATGGAAATAATGAAGCAGCCTCAGCATGAGAGCCTACCTCCTCTGCGCTGGTTACCACTGGCGGCTCTACACCATGCAGCTTCTCTCTGGACTTTCATGCCAGGTCCTCAGCCCGTGGGATATTCACGCAGCACCGGACTTGAGTTTAGACGCATCATGAACCTCCCTCCTCATTCAGGAAATGGTAAAAGGATGCCAGGCCCAAGGATCTGCTCACACCCCCTGCCCCTGCCACTGGACCATCTGATGCCAGCCCAGTGACAAGCCTTGAGGACTGTAAACTTCTTTAGCTACTTCCCCTCTCGGGGCCCAGCTGAGATGGCCCCAACAGCCCACGGGGAGCCCGTGTCCCTGCAGATGTGCACACAGGAAACCTACCTTCAGTGTCGCCTCATCTAGGACTCTCACTTCCTCAATGAGCTTTTTCAGTTCTTCTGAGCTCAGCAGGGAGATGACTGACTGGCCGGGTTGAGAAGAGCAGTGATCCCTGTCCTCAGTTTCCCCTGGCTCGGTGAGGCCTTCTGAATATTCTCTCAGCTCTGAAAGGCTTTCACAAACAGAGAGAACAAAGTGGGGAAAGGGGGATTCTTGAACTACCCCATCCCTCAAAGGACTCGGCGCTTCAGGAATTCTATTATTTGAGACGACATATCCATCCCCAGCAGCATAAGTAATAAACAAATCACAGCTGATCCAAGAGGGCTAGACCCAGACCCCCAGCCCAGCTGGAGAAGGCCTCAGATCCCCCGACCAAGCCACACGTCTGTGATGCAGATCTCATCCACCTCCTAATTCCAGCCAAAGAGAGAAGCAGGGTGCACAGGGCAGGACTCATAGAGTAAGGGCCACAACGGATACAGGACCAAATGTCCTTACTCCCTGCCTAGGTCCTGGGATCATTAAAAAGCAAAACAGATTCTTGTTGGAGAGCACCTCCCGGCCTCACCCAGTGCTCCATAAGTTGAGAGCGGGCCTTTCAGATACGCATCCACCTTGTGGATATTTGTGGGCAGTTTACCAGGAGCCTGGTCATGGTCCCCACTTCCCGTCCAAGTCAGGTCAGAGGTTGTGTAAACAACTCCTTAACATAGAGGACAGAGCTACAATGCACATGTGACCACATACACATAAGGCGAAAAGATTTTTTTTAACTAGCGTAACTGAGAAACGTTAATATATAATATATATAATTGCCATATAATGTAAACTAGAAGAATGGGGACAGTGGAGAGCAAGCAGGACACAGACACTCACTTGAGGGAGAACCCTGTGTCCGAGGCGACTACTTCACCAGGACCTTCTGGAGCTGTGTTGTTATCGGAAGGTGACTTTGGAGACGCCCTTTCCTTGGGGATGCAGGCGATCTGGCCACAGGAGACGGAAGATGGGAGGCACAGCAGGGACTTCATGACGGCCGATGATAACTGGCTACTGATGGAGTAGAGCTTACTGGCCTTTTCGTCCAGGAGCTTTGTCTCGCAGGACTGGGTCCTGGTCAAGGGGAAGCTCCGTGCCCGCTGACTTGGCATCTTGATGCCTGGGCCTTGAGCATCCTCAGCCAGCAGTCTCAGGAGAGGGTCTGGGGAGAGAGCTTTGGGGCTGGGTCTCTGGCCCGGGGGAGGGGACTCAGACACACCTGGGTCCCTGACCTCGGAGGTGTTAGTGAAGCCTGTGGCTATTGGCTCTGCTGCTGCCTGCCTGTGCTTAGCAGAAACTGTAGGCCCTCGCCCCGGGAGACCAGAAACCCGTCCTCCGTCTTGTTTTCCTGGAAGTTTGGTGGTCTCCCCGGAGCCGGGCTGCAGGCTCAGTCTCTGGACTCCTCTCTCTGGCAGTTGTGAGGAGCCAAAGTTTTCAAAGGAGCTGATTCTCTGCCTGATGGAGGAGGAGGAGGCCTGTGAGTGTGGCCCCGATAACTCCCTGGAAACAGGTGCTGGCTGAATGGCCGAGGCTACATCCGGAAGTCTTCTGGAGTCTGGGACACGATTCCTCAGACCTTTTAGGCTCTGACGAAACCAGGCTGGCTTGGGGGCTACCGGGGGCCCCTTCTTCACAGTACAGCCATCTGCCGACTTGTGAACTCGGGGAGCACCATTGGCAGTATCCATTTTTGACAGGACCCCCTCTGGGTGACCCTGTGTCCCGTCCTCTTCACCCAGGCTGGTGTTGGGCTGCAATGGCATTTGGTTATGGTTCTCACTCATGATAGGGCTAAATAAGTTTTTGATGCAGTCGGAAATTCTAACCCAAGGGTCTTCGGTGCTGGTGTCAAAGCTATAGTCCATCCGCGCCTGCCTCTTCAGCAGCGGGTGTTTTCCTGGTGACGCTGGCGGGCAGAAACAAAGCCAGACCTGAGCAGAGCACCTCACTGGGGATTTTCTCTGTAAATTCAAGTTACGATGCTGAAGAGCCCTGGGGCAGAAAACAGTGGGCATGCTAGGGGCCAGGGCCAAGTGTTGTCACCTAAGTGGGGTGCCAACAGGCAGAATTGAAGAGCCAGAGGAGAGACCCTTTTACCATCTTAACATCCTAGAACTGGGCGTGTTCTTGGGAAGTACCTGCTCTGTCGTTTGACAAGGGAGGACTCTAGCAATCAAGACAGATGAGGGGCCAGGGTGGTCAGGGTCAGACCAGCAGGCCAGACCCCCTGCCACCTCACTGCCCGCTCAGAGGTCCTCTCCACTGTCTAAAGTGGTCACCCAGATCACTTACGAGAAATGAGAAACGAAAGCAATTCTTTTGCTTTTTTAAATCTCCACTCCACGAGCCTCCTGTGGGTCACCATATTTGATCTGAACTGTCCGTGTCACTCAAGAGCAGGAGGGATGACTGTGCCTGCCGGTGGGGTGCAGTACAGCTTCCTGAGGCTCGCTCCTTTCAAAGGCACATGGCACAGCTCTGCACCCACCTGCTCCTGAAGCCGTGACGTCGCGGGAGTGAGGGGCTCTGCCCACACTCAGGTCACGGACCAGCTTGCTTGGAAAATGAGTTTTTCTCAATCAGAAGAACTGATTAAGCTCTTCCAGGTAGAAGAGAAAAAAACAAAGCTGTGTGTCACTAATTTTGAATTTGGGCTCTACATTGGAATCTGAAAGGTCCGCTCCTCAGTTCTGAGTTGATCTATCTGGCTGCGGTCTGGGCATTTGGGATGTGGTAAGTCCCACAAGGTGTCCCACTGTGTCACCTGCTTTGTGACCATGATGTCCTCGGGCTGCTCTGTCCAAGGGGCAACATGGCAAGAGCTTCCTCAGAATGAGATGACAGACATTAAATTGGCATCTACCTGCGTGGGCAGGGGAGACCCTGCACTCGACTCCCTTCCCTATAAATGGGTGGTTGGCCCCTGAGTGACATTCAAGAGGGATGTCACTGTCAGCCCTCTGTGTTTCCCACGCCTCAGCCTTGTCTGCTGAAGACTAGGCCGCTTGGGCTGCGTGTCTCAGGGAGAGCCTTCGTGTAAGAATGAGCCCTTGTTTGAGGAACACCGCTCCCTCCCGTCTCTTTCCACAGTGCCTCAAGGGAAGCAGAGCAATGAACCCTGATGACACCAAAGAAGAGCCCTGCCTGACTGTGAAGGCCTGGGTGGGTACTAGTGACTCTGGGACTTCAGCAAGGTGGTCTTGCCCTTAGACTGTTTCTGCATTTACAGATTGCTCAGCTATAAGGAACTGGTATGGTAAGGATTAAGAGTCCAAAGTTCTACAGGCAAGCCCTCTGCAGACGAGGGTGTGTCCTCAATTAGGATAACCAAGGGAAAGGAGGGTGGGGAAGTGGGGTCTCCGGAAGTGGAGTCTCCCTCGGTGGGGCACCTCTCTGGGTGAGATGTCTAAATCATTCCACTTATATTGTCCTTTGCTCTCCAGAGGCCTCTGTGTGCTTAAGGGATATGGTTTGTAGCTTCCCCGTTCCGTTCACCCCTCTGCCACACTGGGAGCTCCTCAGGGCAGAAACTTGTCTGGAGCATCCCTTCCTCCCTCATCCCTGGCCCCAAACACAGCCTCACACACCCCCTAGCCGCAGTGAGTCACATACCTGCATTCTGTGTGATCTTTAATACTTGCTGACCAGTGAACGAGCCCACAAAAGCAAAGTAGACTGCCCAGGATCACTGTTAAAGAAGGGTAAACCCAGGATCCTCTGCTCTTTCTAGTAAGCCAGTAAGTACTCAGACTATGGCATTGTATTGAGGTGCACCACTTGGACCTACCGCCACTATCCACCTCCCGGATGTGGTGACCATCCGCAAGCACCGCTCACGCTTTTCCCATGCTGCACGCTCAGGTTCGAGCATAATGGATAACGTACGCTGTCCTGCCGACACCCGGGGAATGCAGTTGCTCAGGGTTGCTGGGTGAGCTATAATCTTGGGCCATCTTTCCCTGTAGACCCCTCCAGGGTGGCCGGCATCTGTACCACCATCTCCCTGAAATCATTGCTTCAGCTAGGAAGCTTATCACTCAGAAGGGCATTGCCCCTGTCCTCCTGCCCCAGCACCCCGGAAGCCTCACTGTCCCTTCAACCCCAGTCACTGGCGGTGTCCACTGTGTCCATGCAAGGCCCTGACCTCAGCCCAAACTCTAGGTTCCTGCTTGATTCCTAGCACTTTCTCCAGGAAGACCTTCCTACCGGAAGACCCCCCGCGGGGGCTCACCTGGACTGGCGCTCCTCCTTGGCTCCCCCTCTGTAGAGGACGAAGGCTGTGTGCTGACTGCAGGCCCTGGGCAGCAGGCAGCGGTGCAGGGGCTTCTCCTGGCTGTGTCTTCCTGTGGCAGTGGAGGCAGCAGCTCTCTGGTTTCCTGTGGTGTAAACAGGAAGCCAGACTGTGTCAAAACGGTAGCCTCCAGCTGTGAGAAGGCAAGGCACTCTTTGATGAGGACTTGAAAGTGAGTATTGAGACACCTCTAGAGGGACATTCTCAGCAGCAGCAGCGGTGCGGAAGGGTTGCTTTCTCCCATACTGGGCTGTTGCTGCACCGTTAACCCCTCTTGGATGCTCTGGTAATCCTAGGCTTCCAACAACCTGCTGGGCTCAATATGGGCATGTGTCGCAGACAATGGAAGTTGCTGGCCATCTGTGACGGACACAAGAGGTGGGGAGGAGAAAGATGCTGGCCCACTACCTGACCCGGGAAGGCACACGCAGGGGCCAAAGAAACCGCCCTCTAGGACCACTCAAAAGAGAAGCATGTCACATGCTTCCCTCATTGGCTTTAAGTTTTTCAAATGACGTTCTTGACTGTGTTCACAGCACACACAGGAAGATCAGAGGACCGTGTATGGGAATTCCTTCTCTCCTTCTACCACATGGGCCCCAGGATCGAACTCAGGTCATCAGCTTGGTGACAAGCACCTCTACCCGCTGGGCCTGCTTGTCAGTCCCAGTTTTGTTTGAGGCAAGGTCTTATGGGTCCTAGGCTAGCCTCAAGCACTCTGTGTAGTCAGAGATAACCCAGTGCTCCCGCTTCCATGTCCCAAGTACATGGATTCCAAGCGTGCGCCATCACACTGGCTCAGCTGGTGTTAGAGGTCAAATCCAGGCTTCTTGTCTACGAGGAAAGCACCCTACCATCTGAGCTCCACATGGAGATTCCCGGGGTAATTAGTATCTAGTTCTGTGTTCTGGCTCCCTTCCGCAGCACATGGAGCGACACCGCCGATCTATTGAAGATTTTTTTTTCTCCATGGAGATGACTGCTGCCTCAGCATCCTTCTTAAAACAGCCTGTGAGGAACTGGACCAGGACCAAGTAGCCACCTACAGTTTAGGTAGCCTGAGTGAGGGTCAGGGTCCAGGGGCAGCAGAGGGCAACTGGACCTCAGCAGCACTGAAGGCTTGCTAGAGAAATGCTTTGCATACGGTTCTGGAGCAAAACTGAGACTTTGCCAGGCAACCAAGCATGGTGCCCCATAGAAGACAAGGCAACGCCAGGCCCATCTAAATGGTGCTTGCAACACGTTTTTAGGGGAGAGAAATGTTCTGTGCTGGGGCGCCTCCCAAGTCCTGCTCACTGAGGAGTCAGGTCACGATGGGCCAGGGGACAAGGCTATAGGCCTTCTTCCAGAGGAAGGAGAGAAGCAGGGGCATTTGCCTCATTTAGGATTAACCTAAGACACGCCAAATGCCCAGGGTCTCAGATTTAGTGTCTATGCTGTCCGCAAACACTCTTTGGGAAAGAAAGAACCGGAACAGTTGGAAAGGGACCACAGTCATTGACCAGCCCAAGCTCTAGGGTGGAGACTTAAGGGAGTGTTCTGAAACACTGAGGGTCAGAGCCTCCAAAGGCTTTCCTGAGCTAGTTCCCTTAGCACTTAACAGTAAGCCAATAAAAACATCTGGGCTTCTCCAAGATGTTTACCACACAGGAAAACTCGCTGCACCCTGTTAGGGGCTCTGTGAGGTGACCGTTGAGTGCTTTTACAGAAAGGCATAGGAAGTCATCTTGAAAAAGCCCCTGATGTACGCCCGTGGTGGTTGGAATGAAAATGGTTCCCATAGGCTCATACATTTGAATGCTTGGACCCCAGTTGGTCGACTGTTTGGGCAGGATTAGGAGGTGTGGTCTTGTTGGTGAGGTGTGTCATTGGGGGTGGCCTTTGAGGTCTATACCATTCCAGTTCTCTCCCCCTCTCTCTTTTGGTCCGGAGTGCCCCAAATAGACTAGGCTGACTGACAACAAGGACCAGGGATCTGCCTCTGCCTGCATCTGCCTCCCTGTGCTGGGTTGTTGTTGTTGTTGTTTTTGACAGGGGTTCTGGGACTTCACTCAGGCCCCTATGCTTCGCTTCAGGCCCTTTACCAATGAGCTACCTCCTTGGCCTCCTCCAATACCTCTGACATCGCATTCTCATTGGAAGAGGTCATTAAAATCAATGCTAAAATTAATTTGACTTCTAAACAAAATTTTCTCAGGCAAATGTTTTCTGGCTCAGTGCTTGGTGAATGAGAGAGAGGGGAGGAAAGAAAGCAAGAGGGTGAGAGATACGGACTCCGCAGAGAAGACAATATAGTTTTCTTCAATGTATGTATGTTGAGACAATGTGAGTGCAGTGCCCACAGATGCCAGAAGGGGGCGTCAGATCCCCGAGAACCAGAGTTACAGGCACCATGATTACTAGGCACCATGTAGGTGCTGGGAATGAAGCTCGGATCTTTTAGAAGAGCAGCCATCTCTCCAGCCCCATGGGAAATACCTTGAAGGTCATTTTTGGTAGAGGACATTGGATTGCCTTTAGTGACGTCAAATGGGAAACATGCCTAGACTGTCATACTATCTGCTTGCAAAGGGTCTTAGGACCCTAGAGAGAAAAGACAGCAGAAAGGAACTAGAGAAGAATGTAGGAAGAGGAGAAGAGAGAGAGGGAGAAAGTGGAGAGGGAGCAAGACAGGTTGAACATAGAACCACAGGCAACAAGAGCCACTCAGGCCCAGGAGTGGCCAAGGATGTGTTAAGCACGGTGCGTAAACTCAATTGCTTCCTGTTTTCTGCCAGGATAGAATCCTGTCTTTGTGCTCGCTCTCCCAGCACAACAATGCTCTGCTGGTTGTATGAATATGTTACAGAAGGGTCTGCTGGCCCTGGGAGACAATGCAGAGAGGACGGAAAAAAGGAAGAAAAAAAAAACAGTCACAGAATGGCCTTTGTGTTAGTGAGGACCATGTTGCTAGGGAGGACAGGGAAGGAAGCCAAAGGCAGGGTGGGGCAAATTGCTCAAGATGTGGGATGCTGAGTCTGAGAGAAAGCAGTGTGTGTGTGTGTGTGTGTGTGTGTGTGTGTGTGGCACGTGCGTGCATGCGTGTGTGCTGCACCTGTGCGAACTCATGCACATGTGTCTTTGTGCTGTATTTAACACCTTGGCTCCTTGCCTGACTGTCCCTGTAGCCCTGTAAAAAAAAAAACCTGCTTCCTCTGCTGGCTGCCTAACTTGGCAAGGCTCCCTCCCCTACATGGGCCCCATCCAATCAGGCGGCCCAAGGGCATCATGGCGCACCTGTTCTCCTGCAGATAGAAGGCAAAAAGTCTACCTTCTCACCTGCCTGCTTCTGATGTGCCTTCTCAGACTCAGAAGCAATGGCATATTTGCTGAAGTGGGGGTCAAGTAAGCAGATCCACGGGCTAGCCCATCCCTGGTTGCTAGCCAGCCCTGCCCTTCAGCTGTCTGAAAGTCTGCACTTCCTGTTTGGTAAAGGCTCCTCCTTTCCTTCACTGTGCCTTAGCTAGGGAACTCAAGACGTCCCTCCCCACAACCACCTCACCCAAGTTTGCTAACCTGCAATTTAGCTTCTTCTAGGGGATTCCCAGAGGCCTTACTTTACATGCTATCTCTAGCAATGTGAACTTCAAAGTTTGTTTTCTGGTAACTGGGACCCTCGCCCTCAGACTCTTGCAAGGACAAACTGAGACGGTATACACAAACATATCTAGCATGGTGCCCTTCGTTAAAAGTTTCACCAGCTCCTTTTTCTGTCCACCTGCCTTCCCGGAGGAGTAGGGCTGAGGAAACAAGGTCTTGAGATGAGGAAGGCATGGATGGGACGGTGGACCGCTAAACACTGAGGGGAATGTAATTCTCACAACAGCCGGTGGAGGGAGGCACTCAAAGAAGCGCCAAGTAGCGCTAAGGACACCTAGACTTAAAGAGAGGCTAGTTCCCCCAGTCTCCCCACCAATGGGAGGCAAAGTTAAGAACGAATATTGGGACCAGTTTCTCAGTTTCTCACAATTGTCTTGCATTCCCACAGGCAATTAGTCCTCCCTCGCTTTTAGTTATTTGGGTGACAGCTGTGGGTAAGCAGAGCACCTGAGATTCCCCGGCTCAGCCTCCCCAACACAGAGTGACCCTGCTGAGGCTTCACCACGCTGAGAGAACTCTATTGCCAACAGCTGGCAGGCCCGGGACTTCCATTTTGGTCCTGCGAAGTCACGTGTCTCTCCAGGGTGGTCCTAAGAGTGTTTCTCTACGCCAAAGTACAGGAAACCTGAAGATATTTCTAAGGCTCAAGAGCAGCTGCTCGAACGCAGGGGACACATGTCCCACCGCGCACACCCTCCTACCTGGCTGCATGTGGGCAAGGTGTGGCCAGGAGGGTCTGTGACCTTCTCTTCCAGTTTCTTCTGAGTTTCGCTGTCATTTTTAAAGTATTTTCTGGGTGGAGGCTTGGGTTTGGAGGATGTCGGCTTTCTCACCAAAATCTCAAAAGATTTCTTCAGTCTCAGTGGCGGGTGGCTGTCTCTTTCCAGGCTCTCAGGAAGGGGTGGGCTCTCCTGCTGAGGCCTGGATAGGACCCCAGGATGGGGCTCTTGCTCCTGCCCTGGGGGCAGACTGGGGCTGGGGGTGCAGCCTTCCCTCTCAGAAGGCTGTGGCTCCGCACCTGCGCTGCAGGGACTTCCCCCGGGTGACCCAGACATGTAGCTGCTGTCGCTGCTGGAGCGGACCATGATCTTCTGGGCCCTTCGATGTGGAGGTGCCGAGTGCTTCTCGCGTTCCTTCTCCAAGGTGGGCCGCCCATGCCAGCTGCTCTCCAGCCTTTTGACACCTGCATGGGAGCACAAGGAAACACCTTAGCGGAGCCTCAGAAGAGCAGACACCCCTGGGGCTGCAGGTAGCAAGCGCTCTATACGCCCCACTGCTCAGTGGCGGGCCACCTCAGACTCGGAGCTTGGCAGCCTTGGGTTTGGGCTCTCCATGCCTTTTCTAGTTTCTACTTGAGAAAATCATTCGGCCTTTCTGGGCCTGCAAGTGACAGACACAGAGATGCACCGTTCGGGCCCCCCAATATGGCCCATCATGTAAGAGTTCGGTGTCCCCGCCTTGGAGAAACTGGTGGCTAGCTGTTAGCTGTGAGCTTTGGGGTTTTGCAGCTGCAGGGAGATACCATACCTCTGTGAGAACAGCCCAGTCTCAGGGCCTGGTGGAAGTCAAGGTGGCTTAGACCGAGCTAGCCATTGCTGCTAACTGGGGGTAAGCCGAATGGATCATGCTGACTAGAGGGGCCCAGGGCTGGCTGATTCCAATCCCACCAAGCTCCACTTCTCTATTCTGCTCCCTTGCATAGGAGCAGACCTCCAGCTAACCTAAAGGACATCTACACACTGTTCTCTGCTTCAGCATGCTCTTCCTGGGAGGAGGCTAACGCTCCACTTCCGTGTGTGTGTGTGTGTGTGTGTGTGTGTGTGTGTGTGTGAAAGGGGCTGCAATTCCAACGTTGCCCGGCTTGCCTCGCAGTTCACTAGCAAAGGAAAAGAACATGTGGACATGCTTTGAACCCCATACCCGATGGGGTACCATCTTCTTCCAACAAAAGAAGTGAAGCCACAGCCCCGCCCCCTCTCTCTTTCCGTCTCACACACTGCAGTTTTCTGAACAGTGGCACCTACACATCCCAAGATGCTGTTTTTTCTAGTGGCAGATAGTCATAGGTACCCCTTTCCAGAAGGGACTGGGAGCCATGGAGGCCTGGTTGTTTGTGGGTTCATTTGGTGTGGTTAGGAGAGCCAAAAAGGCTCCCACAAGAAAGCACTGAAGCCAGCAGTATTGGACCCAAACACCCTTTAAGGAGGAGCTTTCGGCTTTATCTCGGTTGTAGGATAACACGTCTTTGAGAAACCTAAAACACCAGAGGAAGGTATGAAAGCTGACATTGCCCTGCATCTAATCACCCCACCTCCTACCGCTGTAAGCAGTGAGCTCGTGGGGGTGGGGGTGCTCCCTGTCAAACCCAGGGTTTCTTCACATCTGGGGTGAGTGGAACCCTAAGGAGGACCTAATAGAAACACTGTGTGGTCTTGCCATTTCCTCTGAATGTTTCCCACACACTTCAGCCTCCTTGCCAGCATCAGTGCTAACTCTTCAAGACGGCCTGGCACATGTGTGTCCTGGGATGAGCCGGCAAATGCTCAAAGGCTAAACACAAGAACCACCCAGAAAGCCAGGTTCCTAACCCCGTGAGACCAGTTTCTTTGTGTACTGCTCTTGTGTCTTTGGCAAGGAGCCTTCCAGAGTCTCCCTTATTCTAATACCATGTACATAAAAATTAGATGTGAGGATGGGGTGGAATAATATAGCAGGTCAAGATAAATTAGGGATTTTTCGATGTCTATTATAACAGATTAGGAATCGCAAACCCAAAGCCTACGGGGCATTATGCGGGCAAGGCAGTCTGGCGGGTGATGAAAGGGTTGGGAACGACTGCTGAGCACCTGCCACATTTAAAACAATACAAACCTTGTACTTTGTGCACAAAGCAAAAATGAGAGCCAGACTTTACTGGCGAGCCCCCGTCTTTCTACCGTTGTTGTCTGATGCCACGCGTGCGCACCGTGACTGTTCTCATGCTGCTGAGGCAGAGGGTGGGTTAATAGCTAAATCCCCAGCTTCCTGAGGAGGCAGAGATATTTATTCCAAGGGAACCTCCACCACCGCGCCCCTCACCTTCCAGGCTCCACTGGTGCCTCTCCTTTCCAAATTTGATGCCCTCCACAGCCTGAGCCACAGCTTCCTTGAGTTGCTGCTCAGAAACCTGGAAAAGATCCACCACCAATTCAAGCAAGAAGAGGAGGCAGGTGCAGCAGATTCCCAAGACTGTACCTGCCACGCCCAGGGCTTCTACTTTCCACTCTGCAAAGAGCTGGCCAATTCAGTTTCCAGAAGTGCCCTGGGTATCAACAAGCCCCCGGGATCCTCCAGGTGTTTTGTGTCCATCAATAAAGGAATGTCCATTGATCCCCCTTGGTTCTCCAACCTTTTCCTCACTACTGTGAAACTCTAGGCAAAGTCACCGTTTCGTAGTCTACTTCTGGAAGCTATTCCCTTAGCAGTGATGTAACCTCAGTGTCACGGTCATCACCATGACCGTTATAGGGCCTGTGCTATGCTCACAAGCCATTAGTCCCCTCACAGTAACAGTTAGATAGGAGGGGCTGGCTCAGCACTTGAGAGCACTGACTGCTCTTCCAGAAGACCGGGGTTGTATCCCCAGCACTCACATGGTGGCTAACAGTTGTTTGTAAGTCCTAAGGGATACAACACCCTCTTCCGACTTCCTTGTATACTGCATGAATGTAGCACACAGACAGAATCCGGCAAACACCCATACACATAAAAATAAATAAATAAATAACAAATAAGGAAAGAAAGGAATAAATGAATGAACGAATGAATGAGATGATAGATAGATAGATAGATAGATAGATGATAGATAGATAGATAGATAGTAGATACATAGATTAATAAAGTGTGAGTCTAGAAATCAAGCAGACATACATCCCATGCCAGTTTCTCCATTGTCTAGATGCAATATACTTAGACACAGCTCAACCTTCTAAGCCTCAATTTCTTCTTTTATAAGCTATAACAGTAAAAATCTTCACAACGTGGAAAGAGGGTATTTTACAAAATAAATTATTGGTAACCTAAATATGAGAAACAAAAGAGGAAAACAACAAATAAATTTCCTAGGCTGGGGAGATGGCTCAGAAGCTAAGAGCACATATGCTCTTGTAGAGGACTAGAGTTCAGTTGTCAACAGCCATGCTGGGCAGCATACAACTGTCTACATGAAACCCAGTGCTTCTGCCCTCTGAGGGCACCTGCACACACATGCACATACCCACACATTGATACATATCCATACACAAAATTTTAAATAGTTAAAATAAATTATAAAAAAATTAACACCAAAATTTTAAAGTATGCATCCTAAGTCAATAGACTGAAACAACAACTCTCAAAATGGGAAAAATACTTGTAAATCACATATCTAGTGAACAGTTAAAATCCAGAATATAAAGAACAATAACAAAAGCCAAAATTCATTTAAAAATTAAGCAAAAGACTTGGGGGGACGTTTCTCCCAAGAAGATATACAAATGGTCAACAAACATGTGAAAAATTTCAATCGCAGAGAAACATCACTTCACACCCATTAGGAGAGTGACTCAAATAAAAAAACAGAAAAGAACAAGTCTTGGGCCTGGAGAAAGACCTCTGTGGTTAAGAATGCTTGCTGCTCTTCCAGAGTACCAGAGTTTAGTTCCCAAACCACACTGAACAGATCCAAGACATCCAAAATCCTCTTCGAGCCTCTCCTGGTACTGCACTAATACATACACGTACACACACACACACACACACACACACCCCACATAAAAATAACAAGTCTTGGCAAGGCCATGGAAGAACTGGAACTCTTGTGCACTGTTAATGGGAACGTAAAGTGGTTCAGTGCCTATGGAGGACAGTATAGAGAGTCCTTAAATAATTAAATAATTAAAAATAGAAATAGCAGATGACCCACATCGGGGTATACACACAAAGGAATACTAAATAAATAGATGGATAAATCATAAATAAGAGCAGGTGTGGTGGCTCGTGCCTGCAATCTCAGCACTCGGGAGTGTGAAACAGGAGGATTGCTTCAAGTTTGAGGTCAGCTCGAGCTACATGGTGAGTGTCAAGGCCAGCCTCATCTACCGTGTGAGACTAGGTCTCAAAAAAAAAAAAAAAACCAAGAAATTAAAAAGTATCTCAAAGTCATGTGTGTGTCTCGTGGTCTTTTTTTGTATTACTGTGATAGTCAAAAGTAGAAATAAACAGCTATCCATTGAAAGCTGGGTGCCTGAACAAAATGCAGCATATGCTTGCAAGGCAGCATTAGTCAGCCTTCAAAAGGCAAGCAGATGGCAGAGGTTATGACAAGGATAAACCTTAAATGACTTGAGGCTGTAACAAAAGGGCCAATGTGCCATGGTTCTGCTAATAGGAGGTCTGTAGGCAAAACATAAAACAAAAAAGTGATGACCAAGGGCCACGGGGAGGGAACTGTTTAATGGGTAGCGTTCAGTTTCTCAGGGCGAAGTTTGGTGGTGGTTGCACAACAGTGTGGGCGGCCTTCAAGCCACGGACCCATCCCCCTGACTGCCTGTCTCTGTGACTCATAAGCTGTGCTCATAGGCCTTTCAAGTCTTGCTTTCCTCGTTTGTGAACTGGAGCTTGGCAAACGCAACTGACACACACAGAGAAAAGGTCAATAAATAGCTGGAGTGACCATTGCCAGGTTCCCCAAGGTGCTCTCTCCTATCTATAACCATGGCATCAAGTCTCAAGTCTAGGACCAGCCTGGATATCATGGCAACATTGGCCCTCAGGGTAGCTGCCTATGGGGTGTTTCTATCTGGATATTCTACAGACATCTACGCCCCCATCATGCTACCCCAACTCCTAGGTCATTGTCTCCTATCCCAATCCCTTAGTCATGTTCTCCTTAGCCCAAGCTAAGGAGCTAGGAGCTACTGCTGAATCTTCCCAAGTATGGCTTCGAATTCCTTCTTCTGTAGTCTCTCTCCATGCCTTCTGTGTAGACCTGGGCCTCACCATCCATTCCCTTCTACTCTCTGCCCACGCTACTCTATCCAAAGGTTGGAACAACCAACTATGAACCTGTTACACCTAAAGCTTCTGGCCTGTAGCTCCTCACCAGGTCCAGAAAAGAGCACAGAACGTCAGCCGTGTGGCGACACCTCATGGCCCAATCCGAGCCAGCATCGGCTCTCACTCTCGCCTGGTCCACAAAACCTGCCATCCACTCTCCAGCTGTGGCTGGTCCCTTCAGACTCTGCCTTTGAACTTAATGCTCCCCCATGCAGGAATGACTCTCTGCGGGCCCCCGTCTAGAGACACCTAAACTCTAGCGGCTCTGCTTTATTGATCTCTCCTCTTCCGTGTCAGTCTCTTTATTGAGGCCACGTGCTGATTCGGGACTCTGCACCGTCAGCTTGCTTGTCTCTCGGTCCTCATGGCTGAGCTCCAGCTATTCCCATTATGACTGCCCACCAGATACACACACAAATAGAGCTCTTCCGTTTGCCCTATAGGACTCTGGGATTCTGTCCTCCTACCCTAAACTTGTAACTTAGCTATAAGGTTTTCCTAAGTGGCTAACCATTGCTTCTGCCGTCTAGGAGTTTGTCAGGGGGTCTCTGCTGCAGAGATGTGTTCCCACAGATAGTCTGGACAAGTTTGGGGAAGTAGGGTCCAAACCCTAGCCAGTGACATCTCTGTTTCCATCCGGCTCTTGTCCTGACTTTAATACTGAGAGAAAGAGAGCCTGGGCAGAGGAAAGCCCGGCGGCATGTTACCTGTGGGTCTGGATGTCGGCTCACGATGATGGGAACGGGGCCAGGGTCACAGTGGCTCAGGATTCTGTAGACTTCATTGAGGGTCATGCAGTGCACTGGAGACTCGTTGATTTCCACGATCTCATCACCACACCTGCGAAAAACACCCACAGGAACCTCAAAATAAAACAAATGACTGTAGCAGAAAGAGGGCCACTTCTCAATAACCTACTTCCTTCATGGCTGCTCATGACATCTCAGTAAGTAGACTTTCTACACCGCCTGACCAAAACTCAGAACAGGGTGGGACAAGCAGCCATCTGCTCCTGTCACTGTGGGCCATAGCGTGGCCAGTGTTTCACATCCAGAGCCGTCCAGCGTAGATAGAAGCTCACCTGTCTTTCCCTCGCCTTCTCTTACTGACCTGATCAGGATTGAGGATGCGGTTTATCCCCTCTAGCCGATTAGCCAGGGTGTAACTCATCACACCCTGGGCCTCAGTGTCCTCAGAAGTGGAGTGGCTAGGAGGAAGGACTGGGCAGCGTGTGCTAAAGGTAAAGGAAATGACGGAGGTGCAATGTAGCAGAGGTCCATGTGAAGAGAAGCAAGGATGGCAGCCGAGGACTTATTTTAGTTCCAAGATGGGGTGCTGGTTACTGTCAACTCCTGTGCTTTACATGAGTACTCTGCAAAGGCCCTGAGAACCGGTGTAAACTTTAGGAGCCGGGGCTCAGGGCAAGCCCTTCTGGTTCTTGGGGATGCACCTTTACAGGGGACAGTGTGACCCTGTCCTCATCTCTCTTTCAGAGTTCCAGCCTGGAGGTGAACACTTGTTCTGCCATCATGTGTTTCCACATCACAGGCCGACACGGAGTGGGGCGGGTCAGACACACGTGGACCTTCTGACGCTCGGAGTCATGATAACCTTTCTTCTTATATACCGACACCTCAGGTGTTTGCTATGTAACAGAAGACTGGCTGACGAAACCACTGACACAGAAAAAGAACCCAACTAGAAAAGACAGTGTTGCTGATATAAACCATCAGGGCTGGTTGCATGTCAACTTGACACTAGCTAACGTCACCAGAGAGGAGGGAGCCTCAACTGAGAAAATGTCTCCAGAATATCAGGCTGGAGGAAGCCTGAGGAGCATTGTCTTAATGGATGGGGAAGGACCAGTCCATTGTGGGTGGGGTCATCTCTGGGCTGGAGGTGCTGGGTTCTATAAGAAAGCAGGCTGAGCAGGACTCGAGTCTCCTGATTCTGCATCCCCTGCTGTGGCCCCCTGCTCCCTTCTGTGTTTCTGCTAAGCTGAGCCCATTATCGTGCTAAGATAATGTATGTTCTCTAGGAATAGTGGAAGACCTCTGCCCACTCAGCACAGAACAGTCCTCACCCCACTGTGGGCCTCCGGGAGAGGGCAAAAGAGCTAAAGCCAGCATCCTAACTTGGCAGGGGGTCCTCCAACCCTGCAGCTAGATGCCCTGGCTCTGGAGCCAGGTCTCCCAGCCTCACAGCTGGACCCCCAACCCTGCAGCTGTATCCCAAGCACAGTAGCAGTGGTTGTCCTGCAGAGGGCAGCACAGATCAGTTTCCAGCTCAGACACCACCTGAGGTGGGTTATCCAGACACCACCTGAGGTGGGTTTGCCTTCCTACACTGCAATCATGGAGAGGGGGGATTAAAGCAGGGCAAAAGTCTCCTGTTTACAAAGGCAGGGCAGAGCACGTCCTCGTGAAAGATACATTTGTCCCTCTGGCAGACGTTAGAATGGCTTTGCAAGTACCGTACCGGGTTAAACTGAGATAATGACTTCTACCCAATCAGGTCGCTTGCTGTAGGCAGAAGTTCTATGGAGAGAGGCAGGACTGCAGCATCTATCTGAAATTATTCTGCCCTCTTGGTGAGGATGTGCATGAACCACAGCTGGTTTGCTCAAAACACTCCGTTGTGCACATAGAGCTCACAGGAAAACCCTGCACCGTCTGTGTTACTATGGATTCTGTGTCAGTCTAGTCTGAGTTAGAGCAAGCTTCCTTTGTTTTCTGTTGCCATCTGACATCCTCAGATGCCATGTTTCTTAACATACGCAGAGATTTCCGGGCTATCAGTAGCATTGAACTCAATCGACAGCTCTGGTGTGGGGCAGCTGAGATTTTTTGTATCCCGCCCCTTTTCCCTATGCCCAGGTGATTGACATGGCTGCGGCTGTGCTACAACTGAGTCGAGCCTGAATCCTTCCGCATTTCTCCTGAGGCCAACCTCAGATACTCCTAAAGGAAGCCAGTTTTCTCTGCTCTAAGCCAGGGGACCATTTAGGAAGAGAAATGGGGACCCACCGCAGCCGTCCATCCAGGTGCGCCACGGATCCAGGTGACAGCGTGTGAACGAAGATGCCTGAGATACATTGAAAGTAGGGGACACTGCACAGGCCAATCCCTAGGCCAACACCAGCCTCTGGAATGCAGAATGGGGGAAAGGTGGGGCGTGTGAGCTTTCCTGGGGGGTGGGGGTCCCAGCCTAGTAGAAGCCTCTGACACCTGGCGTCCTAGGCTAGGCAAGTGTCCAGGTCATGATGCCCATTCCACCCCTGTGTGTGGAGTGTCACTGTACACAGGGGCCATTTAGGGAGCAAGTGATGGGCAAAACAGACAGTGAGGAGGGTGTGTGGTAAGGTCAAGTGGAGAAACATTAGGAAATGAGAGAGGGGAGGCGGCAGGGAGGAGGATACAGGAAGGTGAGCGAGAGGAGGTGGGGAGAAGGGAGGAGACATTGATGAGTGTTATACAGGAAGTCAAAGGGAATGAGCTAGGAAGTGGCGGGATGCCCCTCCAGGCCTCTGCGACGACATTTGGTGTAAACCATGGACGACAAGAACGAGCCAGGATGAGGAGATGGGGCAGAGGTGGAGGTTGGGAGGAGGGTGCCTTGTTGCTGTGGGACCAGAAAGGCCGGTGTGGGCAGAACATGGGCAGGCATGGGGAGAGTGGGCTGAGGAGACGGAGGGCAGGCGTAAAGAAACAAACACTGTTTAACTTAGAAGAAAATGCCACGGGACAGTCGGGAATGAGGAGGTGGCATAATTTAACTCCCATCTTTATTAATATGCCTGGCTCTATATGGAGAAATAAATACGGATGGGCAAGAATAGAAGCATGAAGGTCACTGGAAAGGCCCAGTGGGTACAAAGGGTGGCAGAGGGAGAAACAGAAGGGCATGGAGTGTATTCCAAAGGGAAGGAATAGAAGGAACGGATCAATAGATTAGCTCAAAGTGAGTGACCGACTGGTAGGTGACAACCCCACTCTCAAACAGGGAAGTCTGGGCAGGACCAGACCTACAAAGTTCTGCCCTGCAGGTACCCGTGATGCTTATCACTGCGCTTGGAGCCCAGCTCTGCCCCTAACAGTGTCCCTCCTCCCTCCAGCCTTTAAGAATTAGCCATGCACCCGGGATCACAGAGAAAATGGCTGCGGATCCCTGGATGTCAGCTTGATTAAAAACTAACAAACAATGCCGGGCGATGGTGGCGCACGCCTTTAATCCCAGCACTCGGGAGGCCGAGGCAGGCGGATCTCTGTGAGTTCGAGACCAGCCTGGTCTACAGAGCTAGTGCCAGGACAGGCTCCAAAGCCACAGAGAAACCCTGTCTCGAAAAACAAAAAACAACAACAAAAAAAACTAACAAACAACCCTCCATTCATTTTGCAGGAACAAGAAAATGGGCCCAGAGAGGGTCAGTGCACTGTTCAAGGTCTCAGGATATTAGCTGCAGAGTTCAGAGTCTACCCCCCCCCCGTGTGTGTTTGTGTGTGTGTGTGTGTGTGTGTGTGTGTGTGTGTGTAGTTCCCTGCTATATGCCTGCTAACTGTCTCACTAAAGACATAAAGACATTGTCTGGGTTAGCTAGGACAGGTACCTATTCCTAAGCCTGATAAACTGAGTTCAATCATCAGAACCCACGCGGCAGAAAGAGAGAATCTCAGCCCCCACTAGCTGTTCCCTGTGTGGCGTGCCCATGTACAGATACACAAACGCATACTAAATAAGCAAGAAGAAAGGAAGAGGGGATGGGGAGACAGGAAAGGAGGGAGGATGAGATCTGATGGCAACTTCAGCTGGACAAAAATAGCATCTGCTCGTCACCCATTCTGTACTGTTCCCCTAGGACAGCGGTGGGCAAAGGCTGGCACAGCGTTCCTACCTTTCTGCAGAGACACCTCCACCATGATCCTGTAGTTGGGCTTGGCGGTGCTGGCAGGGGACGCGGGGCTCTCCAAGGAGAAGGGGCTGCTGTCCTGGGCACCGCACGTGCTGGAGCTGAGGGAGCGGCACAGAGGGGGTGACAAGTGGCTGCACAGGGACGGGGGTGCCGTCAGGCGGGTCCTCACTGTCAGGGTCAGAAGCCCCTTCTTGGCTTGCTGGAAAAGAGTGATGGTATTTGGAGCCATTCTCAGACAGGTGGGGAAAAAAAAAAAAAAAAAAAAAAACCAGACAGCCAGTAACGATGATTGCTGTTCTCCAAGGAAACACAGGTGTGTATGTGTGTGCATGCATAGCATACAAACATGGGACAACTTACACAAGACACGTACACACACATGTGCCCAGAGTATATATGTTATATGATATGTGACATGGGTGCTTACCCAGATAGACTCTTGAACTGAACTAACTGGATGGAGATGCAAAATACCTTTTGGTGATTCTTTACAAACTCAAAAAGGCAGTGGTGGTGCACGCCTTTAATCCCAGCACCCGTGAGGCAGAGGCAGGGGGGTCTCTGAGTTCTAGGCCAGCCTGGCCTACAGAGCAAGTTCCAGGACAGCAAGGGCTACACAGAGAAACTCTGTCTCTAGCCCCCTTCCAAAATAACCTCAAAAATTCAAACCATATCTATAAATCTACTATTATAAATATTCATGTTTTGAGACAGTTTTATAAACCTCTAGTAGTCTGAATGTCCTGATTCTACTAACATTTGTAGAGGATTTCCCTTAATGCTGTGCCTGAGGGTAGCGTCGACTAGGCAAAGGCTAGGTCCCTGCAAAGGGTCAATTTTTAATTTTGTGGCCTCAGAGGAAGGAGACGAGGCTAGGTTTGACTTCACTGCCGAGGGCCTCAGACTGTGGACAGAGGCTGAAATGTTACCTTGAACTTCTGCAAGGCATCCTGGTGTGTTAGGCCAGCCATTGATTCGCCATTGAGTTCCAGGATTTCATCGCCTGTCGAGGGAGAGAAATGCAGAAGCTAGCAAGCTTTAGTCAGGCTTTCGGGATATACTCGGGGCCTTGGGCCTTGTCCCTAGGCCAAGCCTAGCCCTTGGCCTTTAGAGTTTCCCACACTCGAGCATTGTCTGGGCCACCAATCTCAAGTGCCAACTCTGCCATTCGGCTTTAACAGTGTTTCCCAACAGCTTGTCATAACTGCTCAGATACTGTTTAGTTTAGTGTGTCTATGTGTTACGAATCAAGGCTGCAGAGCTCAGGATGGTGGGCCGCTGCAGCCAAAGGGAACAATGACAGAACTCGACCCTTGTCACCAGAAGACTCCATATGACTGAGAACACACGCGCGGAAAATGTATGTTAGACTACCCTAAGCATGCAATCCCAATACACAGGCTACAGGATCACCAGAAGTGGGAGGCCAGCCTGGGCTACTTATCGAGTCCAAGGCTAGCCAGGGCTACAAAATAAACAGAATTAAAACGTAGTTAAGTGTGTGCTGAGAAAGGGAGAGCCAAAGCCAAAACTTCAGAATGTCCGCTCTTAATTCCACCAGGGCTGACTCTAAGTCATTAAAATATCCGTCCCCAAAGGCCAAATAACCCAGTTCTGGGCTTGTCTGCCATGTCCCTCTTTTTGTTGTGTCTGGAGAACATTGATGAGCCTAGGTTGTGCTAGATCTATTTCACACAGTCGTTTTCTGGATGGAGAAGGAAAGACAGCCATTAGTGGTGTGGTGTGCACAGCAAGCCCATCATCACCAGCATGCTCGCCCAGAGCCGGCGTGAGCACGCACGCCACTTTTGAAAACAATTAGGCTACTTCTTAATTCTAAACCAGGAATGGGCTGGTTGGAATTCTGTTTTTTATTATTGCTATTAACTAAGGGAGATAACCCCACCCTGCACCATTTCCCCCCTCAAAACATTGATGGTTTCCAAAAGAGTCCAAACGTAACAAAACACACCCCTTGGATTTGGGCCTACTCTTCCCTTCTCCTGCCTCCTCTTCTCTTCCTGATCTTGCCTGGGCTGCTCCTGTAGACCTGCCCTAGGTACTTTTCCTCCTCTCAGTCCCTCCCTCCTCCACACCTCTGTGGTTCTTTAATTCACTCCTTCCCCAAGATCTCCCTCTTGGCGACCGCTTTTCAGTGGGCTGTTGGACAGCGCCATCTAGTGCTCAGCCAGGCACATCGCCCTCCTGAAGTTCCTACTTCGTCAGCCTTTTCCTTTTCCTCTTCCTCCTTCTTCCTGTTCTCCAGTGAACTGAAACTGGAAGCTGTCACGCATCCTCATTACCCACTTACTGCCTCTTCCCAGGCCTCGGCTGTTCTCATTGACTCTAGTCCTCGGAAGGGTTACTGTTCCAGACAGCCTCAAGAGCAGGCGACAGCCTCTGGTGCCAGGCTCCCATGCCAGCCTCTGAACAGTTCTGCTACCTGCCTCTTGTCCGCCACTGCATCCTATACACCACTTCCTGACTCACCCAAGGCCTCTCTATCCAGTGCCTCCCACTGCCCGATGCCGCACTGTGCTTGGGTTGGCAGTGTTTTCTGTAGAGAGCCAGATAGTAAGTAATTAAATCTTTGCAAGTCTTACCATTTCTGTTTTGATGACTCAACACAGAGTTGGAACATCAAGGCAGCCATGGCCTCACATGAAAGAACATGGCTGAAATTTGAATCTTGTCATAATTTGCATGCCACAAAAACAGCAAGATAGAATTTTTTTAATTAAATTTTATTAATCTTGTGGGGTGTGTGTGTGTGTGTGTGTGTGTGTGTGTGTGTGTGCATTTAAGGGTTTTGTTTTCTGTTTGTCTTCTGAGAAAGGATTTCTTCGTGAAGCCCTGGCTGTTCTGGAACTCACTCTGTAGACCAGGCTGGCCTCAAACTCACAGAGATTCACCTGTGTCTGCCTCCTGAGTGCTGGGACTAAAGGCATGCACCACCACAACCCAGTGATAGGATTTTTTTAATCCCACCACTGGGTTCTTTTAATTAATTGATTGATGACGGATGATTAATTGATGTGTATAGGCATTTTGCCTGTATGTATATCAGTATACCACATGTGTGCTTGGTACCCTTGGAGACCAGAAGAATGATAGTCTGCTCCTTGCTATGATGGCGTCCTTGAGGGGAGAAGTCTCCCACACTAGAGATACGCACCCCTCCCAACCACAGAAGTATACTCTGAAAGCCCCAGACGCATTTTCAGCTCTCAGTGCCTCCTGGCCCTGGCAGTTCCGGAGGGCCCACACTCGGAGGGGGAGGAAAGGAGGCCTACCTTCCTGGAGCCGTCCGTCGGCGGCAGCTGCGCCCCCAGCAAAGATGCTCTTCACGTAAATCCCAATGGGACCGTAAATGCTGTCCTTTCCCCCGACGATGCTGAAGCCCAGGCCCTGGGGAAAGAAGAGGAGGTCAGATGGAGGGTATCCCAGCTGTTTCTTAGACTGGTCTTTTCTTTAAGGCCCTGCCTAAGCTCTGAAGGAGTCGGAGAGGAGACAAAGTGCCGTTAGTCCTGGGCAGAGGGTCTCAGAAGTTAACCAGGCAGTGTGGTTAGTAGCTTGTGGCCAGTTTGGACTATGGAGTATGAGAGGCTTGCCCACAAGGCAGGCAGAGGGGTGCAGGGTAGAGACTAATGCCTCACTCTCTCTGCCTGAGTATTTCTATCCAATCGCCTCCTCTGATATTGTTGTGAAATAAGGTTACAGAATTCACAGGCTGTACTTGAAAATAAGATGCCCAGAAAGATCAAGGAGACATTAATGGCACTAATAGTAACAGCTACACCCAGAAACACATCATTCTGCTACCAATGGCCCCTTGTTCCCTCCGTCCTGTGTCCATCCGGTCTCCTGCCATAGGACGCCAGTCACCTGGTGTTCCTACAGGTGCTATTCTCCCTGTCATTGTTTCTAGATCATTCTCAGGAGCTGACCAACACATCCTAGGATTATGTCGGGGAACAACACTGTGGTGTCCTCAGAGAGGAAATGATCACAGTGGAACTGGAAGAATCAGCATTGCTTAAACTCCGGCGAGTGCCTGCGAGCTTGGGTTTGCCCCCTCTGTTGCGCTCGGTGTCCCACCGCCCTGTTCCCACTCTTCCCTAGATGACAGCTCCTAAAAGAGTCAATGCTCCAGCGCTTCCCATTGGTGATGGTCTATGCTCACCTTTGCTTGGCCCTTCATCAGCACGATGTTGGAGATGACTGAAGCCTGCAGACCCCCAGACAGCTGCCCAAGCTGAGCAGTGCTCAGTGACCGAGTTGGTCTTGTAGTGCCCTGACACAAAGAACCCAAGAGGGCAGGAATGAGCCACCGGTGACATTAGCCAAGAAGAGCCCCACCCTTCACCTCCCAAAAGTCACACTCGGGCAGGAAGCTTTACCTAAGGTGGCCTGGCTGCAGATCAGCAGAGAAGGCTCACACGTGCTTGCAAAGGGGTGAGCCAGGGGTAATAATTCAGACCATACTGTCCCCAGAATAAGCCCTGGAGGCCAAGCGAGACCTTCAGTTGAGTTTGAGACATCTCTATACACTGTGTTCAGCTCAAAGCATGTTTACCAAAAACTCTGCTTGTTCCAGGCACGGGGGGCAGTAGGCAAGGAGTTTAGAACCCCAAGACTCAAAAGAAGAACTTTAATTCCAGGGAAGGCGGAGGGAGGTTAACCAGCTGCCTCAAAGAAGCGGAGGGCATCAACCACGAGCAGTTTTGTGTCCCAGGACCCCAGTGGGGAGCAGCGTGGCTTAGTGGTAATGCTGCCACTTCGGAAACCACATCCATGTCCCAGAGTGTTCTCCTGGCTCTGCTAGTTATCCGCTAATGACCTTGGAGAAGTGACTTTGTCCCTCCGTGCCTCTGTTTTCTCCAGAAGATCGTTTTCAATAGGACTTACCTGTGTGCATGGTGTCAAGGAATAATTAACTGTGCTAACTATGCAGGTGCCGAGGGCGGGGCTTCATCCCCAGGAAGTTTGCTATGTGCTGCCTTAGCAGTCTGCAGCCCAGGAACACGCTAGTGCTTCCTACCTGGTCACCAAGCCAACATGTTAGCCGAGGGTGTGTAAGGGAGAGTGTGTAAGTGTGTAAGGATCTCACTAAGATCTGACGCTGCCAGGCGAGTCACATATGTAACTAGCCTGTAGGGACCCTGGAGTGGATTTGGGCTTCAGGACCATCACTCCCTGAAGAAACAGCTCATCTTCTCCTCCCCGCTTCCCTCCTTCCTCTTCCCGCTTCTCCCCTGTTATTCCCTTCCCTCTTCTTTCCTGTTACTGGCTTGAAGCTGTTGGTACTTTTCTAGGCGAAGTGACCACACTATCCCAGGCTTTGTAGCCCTAAACCAAGGCTGTCCCTCCCTGCACCCCAGACAACCCTTCAGGGATCCTGCCTTGCTGCCTCCTTTGGAAGCCTCTATGCAGACAAAGTGAGACCACGAGGGGCCATCAGCAATGGCTAGCTTCTCAGTGTTGCTGGTCACGCGGTGAAGATGTCCAGATAGTCAAACCCCTGTCTCTGTCTCTGCCCCCTGCCTCTGTGGGGGATGGGTGTGTCTGGGACCCACATGATGGAAGCCTGCTTCCATACTTCTGCCCTCCACACTCACACTGTTGCACCCCCACCACCCCCACCTAAACACACACACACTCACAAACAGTAAATGAATAAATGTTAAAAAAAATGATACAATTTCAAGTCTCAATTCTGCTACATACTAGCACTGTGAAAGATATTAAACTCCTTAGTTTGTCAAAGCCTGAGTTCCCTGGTCTTCTCACCTCAGAGTTATTGTGCAGGTGAAATAAAGGGATTCTCAGGATGCTTTAGACCTTGAGAACTCTGTGGGGGCAGTGGGGGACAGGGATGGTGTTCTCTATGGGCTCCTAACAGCATAGAAGTAACAGTGGTTGCATGTACCTGGCCCAAGGAAGGCTTGACAGATAGTCCTTCCAACTATGATTTGTGCCTAGCGGGGTGCCTTAGCAAACTCAGTAAGCTCTCTGTAGTCTGTGAGCAGAAAATCACTAGTGTGATTACACAGCCTCCGTTCCTCCCACGTCTCCAGGCCCCTCCCCTCCATCTTACCGAAACCGGGTAGTCCAACTGTTGAGAGAGAGACTTCCTGTTGCTACAGAGAGAGTACGGTTGCCTGTCGGTGGGAGCTGCAGATTTCTTGGCCACTGGAAAATCAATTTCTCCCGCGCAATAGGGATTAACACCTAAACAGAGATGGACAGGGTGGGGGGAACAAACAGGAAGAAATCATTTGTGTGCACTCAGATATCAGCCTCGCCCATCAATCGCCAGCCCCTTCCTTAGGTGAGGGTCTGTGAAGGCAGAAACCATCCAGCACCCGGGATGGTTGGTGCTGTCCTCAAGGCTGCAGAAGACCCATGGTAATGACCTCTACCAGATGAAAGAGAGAAAGAGAAATAAGGACAGAAAAACAGGTTGCCCTTTGGAATGAGTGGGAGAAGACTGACTACACAGCCATGGGCAAATCCAGTGTGAGGTGCTGAGGCCATGCTGAGCTGGGCTCTGTCCTTTCTGACCCAGGCAACTAGTGTGCTTTTGGGTGCGCCGTAGCTTCTATGGACTCAGATCTGTATAAACAGAGGCCAGAGCAGGACATGGTTCATTCTCCAAAGCTCTGACTGGTCTGGGCCCTCCTTTACTCTGCCTGAAAATACTTGTGGATGTATACAAGGCAACAGAAAAATGCATCAAAATTATCATTTTCAAAGGGGGGAGTTAAAACCTGCAATGTCTATCACACTGGCTTGATTGATACCAAATGTGGTTAGGAACCCGGCTCAGAAGCCCAAGCAGTTTTAGAAAGAGAAGCTGTAAGTTGAGATGAATATGTAACAATAATAATGAATTTGTACTTTGAAGCTAAGTCAAATTATGAACTGGAAAAAGTTAATTGCCAAAGGAACTAAAAATGGATAACACTAAGTTCCTTGTCTCTCCTAAAAGGGATGATTTAGAAATTTTATTCTGAAGTATTTATTCAGTAATTAAGTTTAATAAATTAGTTAGCCACTTTGAAATTCTTAATAGTTTTGCACAGACTCCCTTGGTTTCATTCTAGACAGAGCCCCCTGCAAAGTGTATAACCAGTACCAGGTGCAGAACAAGGCAGAAAAGCAGTCACAGGCAAGATGGAGAAGCCTGTGCAACACATATTTAAAAGAATAATAGTAGCCCAGTGTGAAGTAGGTGATCATGTCTGCTGCTGAAGGAACGGCAGGTTAGTGTGGCTGTGTGGTCAAAGTTCTTCAGCTGTATCTACCGACCGTTTAAACCAAAATTTAACTCCCAGGCCGTTACAAACAAGAAACCAAGTTATACAAGTCTCCAAACAGGCCATTTATACCACAGAGAATGAGGCTCGGAGAGACGAGCAGCTTCCCCAAAGTCGCAAAGATAATCACTTCCAAGGAAGTTAGATCCCAACCTAAGCATGATGGCCCTCAAATATAGTGTCTTTCATTTTGCTTTGTTTTTTTTTGGGGGGTGAGGGTGGGGGTGAGATTGAGACGGGCTCTGCTGTACCCCGGCCTGGCCACACGCTCAATAGACCAGGCAGGCTTTGGACTCCTGATCACCCTAACTGTACGGCCCCCATGATGGGACTACAGACTGACCACCACACTCAGCCTTCAAGCCTTCTCAGTCACCAGCCACTCCTTCCTATGTGGTTGTCACTCAGCATCCATGAGCACCAGTTGCTTCCAGAAACCCCCCACGGATACCAGGATATGTGGGTGTTTTTCCATATTTTGTATAAGTTTACTACATTATTATCACATAGTAAAGGCAAATAAATGCACTACTTACGCTGGATTGTTTAGAAGACAATGGGGAGAGAAAAGAATCCACACATTTTCTGTAAAAATGTTATTTTTTTTAAAGTAGTTCCCATTTACAGATATGGAGGCTAAATGGGGTTCCCTTCAGGAATCAACATGGGTGCAAAAAATTTTTCATGTGTAAAGTAAACAATAAGGATTATGCTAATGAAAGACTAAAAATAATGAGAATATTTAATAAAAGGGAGTTGTTAACTAGACTATAAATGTTCATACAATGAAATTTTGTGTTTCCGCCTAAACACGGTGTTTAGAGTGGAATTTCCAATGACTTGCGCACACACGTTTTCTGTAGCCACATGGGAAGAGCATGGCATCAACTGGAAATGTTAGCCCGGCTTCGTGTTAACACGTTTAGCGTGAGCTTAATTTTTGCCACGTCTTTCTCCACTCTTCTGATTCTATTTACAGCACTCACAAGTTCTCAGGTCTTCTGATCTCAGCCCCTGTCATGTGCCAGGTGAGGCAAGGAAGGCTGGGGTTGCAGGGGAAGCTTGCTCAGCACAGGAATTATGCCAGCACTCAGGATAGGAGCAAAGGTTTTTTTTTCCTCTTCCCCAGACCAGATCTCCCCAGCATGTCACTCAACCAGAGGTGCTGTCCACATAGACATGGCCAGGTCAATATAGAACCCCTCTAGCTGTCTGGGAAGCACACCTATGAAGCATGCTCTCTGAGAGACAGACAGTCAACTTGGTTTACCCTTGATAACCCAGGAAGGACCCAGCCCCCTAGTCTCCCGACAGCAACAACAGTCCTGATGTTCAGGAGCAGGTAAGTCCCTGTGGTGGGCTGGATGAGAGCATCCCCACCGGCTCATGCATTTGAACACTTGGTCCCCAGTTGGTTGGGCAGTTTGGGGAGGTGTAGGCAGTGTTGGAGGAAGGATGAGAGGCAGTCTTGAGAGTTTAGACTCCCGTTTCCAGTTCTCTGTCTGTACCCATACTCACATGTGCTTCAAAATGTGAGCTCTCGACAGCCTATTCCTGCCACCATGACTGTTTGCTGTCTCCTCCTGCCACTGTGGACTCTAACCCTCTGGAACTAGAAGCCAGAATAAACACATTCTTTAAGTAGCCTGGGTCACAGTATTTTCCACAGCAACAAAAAAGGAACGAATACAACCCTGTTCCCGAAAATATTTTGGCAAGATAACTCACTGGTGGAGTTGCTGCGTGTCCTCTGGTGGCAGACTTTAGGGAACAGGAAGCTACTACTTTGTGCTTCTGATTTTCCAGTCTTTTCTCTGGAGGAAGTTGTAGAAGGTTCCTGTGGAAACAGTTTCCATCTTTTTTATTCAGCAAATTGAGAGTTGAAATGAATGCTTAGCATAATGGGGCATGAATGTGGGAAGTCCTTCTGTATATGTATTGCTTTTATTGATTGGTGAATAAAACTGTCGCAGCAAATGGCTTAGCAGAGTAAAGCCAGGCAGGAAATCTGAAAAGAGATAGAGGGGAAGAGTAGGCAGTCAAAGACACACAATGTAGCTACCAAAGGAGAAGGACGCTGAACCTTTCCAGTAAGCCACAGCCTCGTGGCGTTACACAGATTAATAGAAATGGGTTAATTTAATATATAAGAGCTAGCTAGGAATATGCTTGAGCTATTGGCCAAACCGTGTTGTAATTAATATAGTTTCTGTGTGATTATTCAGGTTTGGATAGCGGAGAAACTAAAATGGAGTCTATGTTTACAGGCATGGACCAGAGAAATACCTGTTGATTTGTATGCCTCTCTACTGAAACAGCAGGCACCTTGAGGGCTGGGATTTAGAACCATTCTTAATCATTTATTCTAGATAAACATTTGCTTAATTAAAAGGTACTTAACAAATAGAAATTGCATAGTTATTAAACAAATGCTACAAATGTCAAATGCATATGTCAGGGTCTTGATCACATGGGGAGTTCAGCAGTGATCTAGACAGGCAAGGACCTGACGTTGGATAACCGACATTTTAGTCAAGAAAGGCTAACAATAAACTAAGTGAAAGATCACCTCAGAGAATGACAAGTCTTCAGTCAAAAGGATTAGAAAGTGGCCTGAACAGAGAGCCTTGGAGACCTGTACTACAGACGACGGGGGTGCTACATCGCCCTGAGACAGGCACTCACAAAATTACTGCTGGGCAAGTACAGAGTTTTAAAGTATTGAATCATCCAAGTATTCTCCTGGGTATTATAATTTTATTATATTGCTGATTTCTATTTGCCAGCATTTAATTTAGAAACTTAAAAGTCAATATCAAGCCAAATTGTTTACAATCCTCTTCTATTTCTGCCTTACCGTATTGAATTATTTCACTTTTTTTTATCGCAATGATTTTATAGGAATAGCTTCTAGGACTTGGGAGATGGCTCAATCTCTGAAGAGCTTGCCACCCAAGGACAGGGACTTAAATTTGGATCCCCAGTACCATATAAAAAGCCAGGGATAGCAGCTTATGCCTGTGATCTCAGTGCTGGGGAAGCAGAGGCAGGTGGACCCTATAGCCCATTGGCCAGGTCTTGCTGAGTCAGTGAGCTCCAGCTCCAGCTGGGTCTCCTGTCTCCAAAAAGTAAGGTGGAGAGGGAATGAGGAAGATAGTCAGTGTTGACTTCTGATCTCTGTATGTACACATATACACCATACCACACAACATACCACACACAAACAACATAACACACAACACACCACATACACACATACCTCACAAACCACACACACTCAAACACATTCACACCACACACACACACTCATACACATTACACACACACACCACACATGCAGAGTTTCCATTGTACTGAGTATGTTAAATAACCTAATTAGTCTCATCTCTCTACCAGGGTGGAAGAAACCATCTGGCTCTTCCTTGCATGAACAAAAAGCATCTGGAAGAACTCTCCAGCCCCCCTCTTTTCTCTGAGACACCAGAAGTGGAGAGTAAGGGGCACAGAGGCTGGCAGAGAGGGTGAAGGGATTACTTTACTTCTGCTTCCGGGTCTGCTCTCTTTTGTAACTTTACAAACACTGTGACAATTGTTGAGTCACATTGGCTTCGTCACTTACTATTGCAACTGTGTGTGGGTGTGTGTTTGTGTGTGTCTGTGTGTGCGCACGCGTGCATGTGTTTCAGGGAAGCAGTAGGTGGGAAACTCTATAACCATAAGCACTTCCATAGCTGTCGAATTTGAACGACCAGGTAAATGACTTGAATATTTGTTATTGGACCTGGAAGCTATAGCTGTAGATAGTTTAGGTGTTTGGGGGTGGGCACTTAACGTTGCAGTGTCCTGGAGACTCCTAGTCTACCTGACGTGACTACCTTTTTGAGAAGGCAGGTATGGCAGGGGCTGGTTAATTTTGTGTGCTGAGTGGCTACAATATTCAACACCTGGTGTGTGGCCCGGGAACAGAGAATCCCCCTTGCTCTGCCTCTCATTGGGTACCTCTGGCATCAGCTGGCCTCAGCCGACCTCAGCCAGCCTCAGCCGGCCTCAGCAGACTGGCACCGAAGACACGGCTGGCTTTTTCCCCACAAGTCTCATGGCTTTCCTCTCCCCAGTTGTTGATGGCAGGCTAGTGAGCCTTTCTGAGTCCACGCCCACCTGCACTATGACACACAGAAATTTCTCACGGGATTCAGAACACAGTTAGCCCCCTTCCATGGCTACTGTTCAGACAATTGTTTCTCCAGAGGTGTATATTTCTTTTGAGTTTTGAAAGACTTTTCTGCCCGGTGGAGGAGTTAACCAGGTGAGTATCGTAAGCAATCTGGATCCAGAAGTCCACTAACAGACTTTCAGGAATAGAGCTAAATCCAGTCTGACACAAGAATTCATGCAAGAAACCACAAATCAATTCCCTTTTATTTCCTTGGTAAGCCACCGCTGTGAAAACAGATGAAGTCTGGGCAGCCTCCTAGGCTGTCATTTTTCGTTTCAGCAGCAGATGGCGCTGTGTTAGCCTGCGCAAAATGACCCCTCTTTAAGGGCGCCAACCCGGGAAATTCCTGACACGTGACCAAAGCAGTGATTATATACAGGAGAGAGTTGATTTAGCTGAGCTCTTGAGACTCTGGTTTTCAAAATTAAGTGTGTGATCTGCTTTTCTGAGCACACTGGAATATCCAGCCTGATTTCCAAAAGACACTTCTTAGTGATGGCCGTGGCAGGAGGTTGCATCCCAGCTCTAATGTGGAGGCTTCCTTCTAGTACAGTCTCCACTTCCTGCTCTCCAATGAGAGGACAGAAGAAGCGATCTAGTGTGGCATCGGGACCTTTGCAGGCCTGCTAAGCTTGGTCTACTTGCCCAAGGGTGACCCTTATTCTTGAAGCCCCTCTGAGACGTGTATTCAGTCTGTGTATTGCCACTTCTAGATGTTTAATAATTTGAAAGTAAATACAGAAACCGGATGCACACAGGGCATGACCTGATAAGCTTCTTTTTAAACAGTGTTTAGAAAAGTTATTTTAGTGTGCCTTTACTTGTGCTTGTATCTATAAATTTTGAAATATTTTACAATAGTCTGACTGTAATAATGTAAAAAGCACACTGGAAAGGGCTAGAAACAGATGCACCGAAATAGCAACATTCATTCAACAAACGTTTGCTAAGAACTTGCCGTGTACTGGGTTCTCTTCCCAGTTGTGATAACACACAATAGGCGAGACACATGGGACAACGGTTCCCATGAATGAGGAAGGACGTATTTGGATGATGAAGCTGTGTCTGCGTTTTCCTTTCTTTTTATTTTATATGTGTATGGACTTGTGTGTGCACATGTGTATGTGGAGGCGACTTAGATGTCATTCCTCAGGAGCTCCTCGTCTTGGTTCGGAAGACACCACCTCTCTTTGATCTGAAACTCGTTAGCCTAGGCTGGCTGGCGAGCAAGACTCAGCTGTCTACTGTGCTCATCCCTCAGCGATGGAGTGACATTCGCATCACTAGGAGACCCGCCTTTTCGCTTCTTAATGTAGACTCTGGGGGTTTGAACTAAGGTACCCTACACGCACAGTAAGCTCTCTACTGGAAGCTGTATTCCCAGTACTTTCTCCCCCTTTAGGAACAGGGTCTCACGTAGCCCAGGCTGACCTTGAACTCCATATGTAGCCAAGCATAACCTTAAACTTCCGATCCTCCGGAGTACTGAGATTACAGGCCCAAGCCACCACCCCCATTTAACACATTGCATATTTTCTAGGTTTTCTACCGTATTTGTCCTTTTAATTGGGCCCCAAACAAATTGCTAACATGACATTTATTTCAACTGTTACAATAGTAGGATTTTTTTTTTTTATAAAATCCCTAATCCAAAATAAAAATTGTCTGGCTAGTCAAACCAAGATGGCAGGAGAATCAGAGGGAATAGAACAAACCCATTTTTCCCTGGATTGAACAACAAAAGAATGCTCTGTTCACATGAGGGGTTGACTTTCTGACATTTTCAGTGTTGGCTGAGGAAGGCCTCATCCAAAAGAAGTCTTGCCATCTTGCCATCTTGATCTTCCACAGGACTTCACAGTTCCCAGAGCACATTCCTGCCTCATGACTTTGCTCTCTGTGGAAGTGCGACCGTGCACTTGAGTCTGTCTTCCTTACCAGTCCGTGTTCCCTAACCAGAGTCATCTCTGCTGTAAGTCTCAGGGCAGCTGATCCTTCCCCTCAGCCATGTGGCCAGTGTCTGACCTGACAGTAGGTTCCAAAAAGTTGCATCAAATAGGGGCAACGTCATCAAGCTTCTGGATAACTGTGTGAAACTGAGGTGCATATCTCTTTAGCCCTCTGGGAAGGGAACAGTTTTTCTAGATTCCACTGCGGCAGGAATGGAGACACACTGGTGGATGAGGATCAAACTTAAGTGGCAATTTTACATTGAGTGTGAAAAGACATGCATCTTAAAATTTCCTGAGTAAGGCGATACAGGTGTTTATAGATGCTCTGTGGCTGGCACACCAACGCAACAGTGCCCCGTGTGCTCTGAGTTCATCTCATTGCCAAGCTGGTGGCTGAGTGGAAGGCTAAGCTGATAAAGTGTTTGTTATGGAAGATGAGAGCCCGAGTTTAATCTCTAGGACCCACCAAAAAACAAACAAACAAACAAACAAACAAATAAATAAATAAATAAAACAACCTCCTGGCGTGGATGGTGAGCTTCTAAGCTCAGCACTGGGGATGTAGACACAGGAAGAGCCCTAGGCCAGCTGACTGCCCAGTCTATCCTATCAGGTGACCTGCAGGCTAATGTCGAAACCTGTGTTGGAGGAGGTAGGTGGCGTTTGTAA